GTCTACTCTACATACCATAAGGGTTGGGTCTACTCTACATACCATACGTGATGGGTCTACTCTACATCCCACAAGGGATGGGTCTACTCTACACCCCACAAGGGATGGGTCTACTCTACATACCACAAAGGATGAATCTACTCTACAAAGGGTTGGGTCTACTCTACACCCCATAAGGGATGAGTCTACTCTACATCCCATTAGGGATGGATCTACTCTACACCCCACAAGGGATGGGTCTACTCTACATCCCACAAGGGATGGGTTTACTCTACATACCATAAGGGATGGGTCTACTCTACATACCACAAGGGATGAATCTACTCTACAAAGGGATGGGTCTACTCTACACCCCACAAGGGATGGGTCTCCTCCACATCTCATAAATAATGGGTCTACTTTACATCCCATAAGGGATGGGTCTACTTTACATCCCATAAGGGATGGGTCTACTTTACAAAGGGATGGGTTTACTCTAAGGGAGTACACAAGGGCCCCGACGTGAAGAGTACAGACCCATTCAGGTTGAGCAACAGCCTCCAGCAGACGGTAGAGTGAGCCTTCCTCTGCTTTGCTGTTGTAGAGGACCACTCCCTGCTCCACGGCCTCGTCATAGCTCAACAAATTGTGCGACGGTGCACAGCGTCCAGAGGCTGAAAGAGCCCCAAGCACCAGCAAGGTCTTCCAGAAGTAGCCTCCCATCCTTGCTTCGTCTGCTTACGGAGGTCCACAGCAGATGTGGTTCCCGGGACCGGGAGATCTCCTTTTTATGCCCCGATACTCCAGCTCGTTGCCTTCCTGACAGGTGACCCGGGGATTTCCACCGAATTCTCCAAGGTTCTTCCCGCAAAACAAGGTGAACAGAGGAACGAGGACTTTGAGACTCCTTTATGATCCTCGGGGCTCCACCGGCACCTCTCCGGATCAGAGTTCCTCGAGGTATTAATACCTCTTTACAATGCCTTGGTAAGGCCACACCTGGAATACGGCATCCAGTTTTGGTCACCGCGATGTAAAAAAGATGTTGAGACTTTAGAAAGAGTGCAGAGAAGAGCAACAAAGATGATTAGGGGACTGGAGGCTAAAGCATATAAGGAACAGTTGCTGGAATTGGGTATGTCTAGTTTAACAAAGAGAAGGACAAATGGTGTAGGGTTTCCTGCCTGAGCAGGGGGTTGGACTAGATGACCTCCAAGGTCCCTTCCAACTTTATTATTATTATTATTATTATTATTATTATTATTATTATTATTATTATTATTATTATTATTATTATTATTATTATTATTATTATTATAGTGAAAGAGGCCTATGTGTCTCCCTTCACTCATCTTTTTTCAAGGCAGAACATACCCAGTTCCCTCAATGCCTCTTTATTAGGGTTAGTTTCTAATCTCTTGATAATTTTT